ACACACACACACACACACACACACACACACAACCACAATCAGTTTCTCAGACTTACTGCCATTCTTGTCAGGGGTTTGGACCGACAGATTGCAGGGTTGGTGTGAGTAACATCGACCACTTTTCTCTCTCGGGGGCGGGTATCGCTAACTCTGGCCGACGTGGTGAGTCGTTATCCATCAGTCAGTCAAATGCATCCTGGGCAGACTCTGTCCAGGTTCAACCTCCTGATGAGTCGGTGAAAGCCCGACGAAACAGTCTGTTTCGCGCAGTCATGCTTTTCTTTGTGGAGTTGTGTATAGCTAACATGACAGAGCACACAATAATGTTTTGTTGGGCTTTCATTGAAGACGAAACAGTCTGGCACAGTCAATGAATGCTTTTCATTGTGGAGTCGTGTATAGCGTACATGACATGACAACACACATGATCAGTATTGGGGGTAAGTGATCTCTCATTGTGTGTTCGACTTTATCCATCTGCTCTTCATTGAGGATCAGAGCAAGTGATTTTCTCCTGGTGTATGATTCTCCGTAAGAGCGATGTTGTTTAGGATGGGAGTAAATGATAAGAAATGGAGTGAGGTGAACTGGAAATGCTGTGTTATTAATGAATTGCAATCCATGGGCTATGCAGGACACGCGGCAAGAGTTGGTGAGTGAGATCGACGAGCTCAAGGCAAAGATCACAGGGGCGTACGGGAAGGACACGTCAACGTCAGCTCTGGATGAAGATTAGATAGCAGTGCAGAAAACCAGGGATGGAAGTCCGTATGCGGTTAAAATGAGGAAAAAACAATTTCTATTTCAGGAAATATCTGAGGCGTTGCCAATTATAGTTTGCTTATGTCTACTTTTGTTTGCGTGTTGGCGATTTTGTTGAATTTCTCTTCTCAGCGTTTCTACATGTTTCTCTCCCAACCTCACAAGTCACATTGTTTCCATGTCAGAGCAATACCATGATAATGATTATATCAAGAAAAAAAAAGTCCCTTCTCTCTCTCTCTCGCTCTCTCTCTCTCTCTCTCTCTCTCTCTCTCTCTCTCTCTCTCTCTCTCTCTCTCTC